ACAGCAAGTAGTCAATAGGTTTTGCTTTTACCCTACCAACATTTTTGTCAGTTTCCTTTCTCAAATATCACAAGAAATGATAATCAAAGACAAAGTGAGGTAATTCTCTGTATAAATGCATAGCACGTTTTTCTTTACAGGTATCCCAATGACCTAGCTTGGCAAATCAATTTAACAAAAAGATTTATCAGAAAGTCAGCATCCATGGAGAAGTTTCACAATTTTTTGGTTCATCAAACAGAATCTGTAAGATAAACTTTCAATATCAATAGTTGCTTGATCAAATAAAATATTAAGTCTCTTAAGCCTGTTGATAATTTCATTTAAAATCGCCAAATACCTACATATCTTTGTTGATGTGCCCTGTAAGGACAAATGAGCTTTGATTCCCTTACTCCTACCTCTGTGGTTGGCCTCATCCACCCTTGAATGTTTTCTGCTCTCTGATGATGTATGGAATTAATTGTATTGTGTTTTAGCCTTCGAATTACAAGAAAGAGAAATCAAATTATCTTTGCAGGCTATCATATTGTTAATTTTATTAATTTTTCACCTTCAGGGCAACATAAGTCGTCAAGAGGCAGTCAGTATGATTCCTCCTTTGCTTTTAGATGTCAAACCAGGTCAAAAGGTCAGTATTTTGAAGCATAAATTGAGTCACAGAGTGAATTGAAAGTGGTCCAGTTACCTAAATAATAATGCGATATTGAGCATTTTTTTAAAAAATCAGTTAATAGGTTAATGTTTCTGGGCATGATAAGTACATTTATGTTTGTTTATTTTTTGTAATGTCTGATAGTCTGAAAAGTCAGTTGTCTCTTACCCCAATCTTCTGGAAGACCGTCTTTTGCCTGAGTGCGTGTCGAGGGACTGGGGCTGGGAGACAGCAGGCACTTTCGACTAAACATCTGCACACAAAGACCCCCATTGTTCAAAAATTGGATAAGGCTATCCACTGGGTAAATCCCTATTTGGTGGATACTACAGTATGTTTGCTAGAATTGGTTGGATAGCATTATCTGCACTTTGAACAACTGGGCCCATACTATAAATTACAATACTATTAAATGTTCAGCAGTCAAACTTTTTCTGGATTTAAAACCCAATTAAACTCTTAGGCTGCCCGTGGTGTCACTTATAGGTTTCATGTACCAAAGCTTGCTCAAGCTACATGGAACTTAATGTTTTTTAAAAACAAAAAAGAACAGGGAAAAAAACATCCTGAACTGAAGTTGAACTCACTTAACGATTCATGAAAGTGAGTGGTTTCGTGATAAACCTAAAAATGAATTGTTTTCGCTAACTCCTTTATTTTCTTTATCTTTTACTCTTCTTTTTCCTCCAAATGCAACAACCTACTGCACCTTCTTATATAGTTCCTTACAATCTTTCTTGAAGATTCTACAGATTTACAACATGACTATTTTTACTGACATTACATCACAGAATTTTCCAGAATTTACAGTAAACAACTCGAGTTTCTATAAATAGACGTCAGGTACTCATGTCAAAACTACTAGAACTTTCCTAAAGGACTAATCAAGAATGTTCTGGAAATCATAGGATAATCGATAAACGTGCCAAATAACATGTCTTCTGTCCAGTGAGTACATGTTTAATTTTGATGTAGATACTGGATGCCTGTGCTGCTCCTGGTTCTAAAACTGTTCAACTTATTGAACTTCTTCATGATGAGGAATCTCAAGGAATTCCTGGTAGGCCATTTATCTCCTTTGTACTGCAGTTCATTTTGTCCTGGACTATTTTTTTATTAAGAGTACCGGTAATAAGTAGTCTAAGAGTCTGTCTGAAGAAGGAGCTATTCTAAATCAGCTGCATGATGATAATTTCAGCTCCGGCACACATTCATCCAATTAAACTGCTTTAAGTAGGTTGAATACTCTTCATCAAGAGTCATCTTGCTGTAAAATCTTGCAGTTGGAAATGCCTGAATCACTGTGTCAGGGTCACCCTAAATTTGTCTTTGTTTCTTTCAGACGGTCTTGTTGTAGCAAATGAACTCCAGAACAAGAGATGTTACATGCTAGTTCATCAAAGCAAAAGACTTAAAAGTCCATGTTGTTTAATCACAAACCATGATGCATCTCTTTTTCCCCCCATGTTTATCAAAGGAGTAGGTTGACTTAATATTATTGTGATGATTATTGAATATAACATGATCATATATCACTATGTGCATAATTTCCTGAACATCAATGTTTTTGCAAAAGTACCAAAAACAGACACTTATCGCAATATCATAGCAAAGTAAGATTGCACTCCTACATTTGAATGCTTTGGTCGCCTGTCAAGAATCAATGTAACTTAATTGTGACTTTACTGTGAAAGAGGAAAATTTAATGTGATTTGGTAAAAGATCAACAAAGAGCTTCAATTTGTCAAGGAGACATAATTTCAGTGGAGGAGAGTTGTAGTTCACTGTTGTTGTACTTGTTAAGATTGTCATTGCGTGCTTTGTTTTGTTTTCATTAGGAAGAGGATAAAAAGATGCCAATTATGTTTGACAGAATTCTGTGTGATGTCCCATGTAGGTGAGTTGTGAAATGATATTTCTTTGACCTTTCTCAAAGTTTCTCAGTGTCAACCCAAAGGTTCCAACTGAAGATTGTCCATCACATGTCAGGTAACTTTCTTTCATAGTGGAGATGGAACTATGAGAAAAAATCCTCAAATATGGAAGAAATGGAGTCCGCAGCTTGGCTTAAGTTTATTCAGGTCTGTATGTAAAATTAAATATTGTAACTGTGGCTTAGCTTATCACTTACAGATCACTGAACAGTTTGGGAAGGTCTTATGTTTGGCCTCAAGTTTGCTAGATCTTCTTGAAGATGCTGCATCTTATTGACTTCTTTTGTTGTTGTTGTTGTTGTTGTTGAGGCTGTTTTTATCAGCTTTAATGAAGGAATGACACTCTTTGATTTCACTGACCACACAGTATTAAAACAACTCACAGTATTCTAGTTCAAGACAATGGATGACCCACATGTTTGTTTGTTTGGTTGGTTGTTTTTTTTTTTTAAGAAAAAAGAAGTAAAGGAATTTTTCTGTTTACACTTTTAGAGTGCAGCTGCGTATTTTAGCTCGAGCAGTAGAGATGTTGGCAACTGGAGGTCGCATTGTATACTCCACTTGTACTCTTAATCCAATTGAAAATGAGGCAGTCATCTGTACTTTGCTACAGAAAGCAGAAGGTACTTAACATAGTATTTCACTGATTCGATTGTGAATTTGAGTTTTATTTCTTTAACCTTCTCACGCCTAAGATCTAATTAGTAATACTCCATACTGTCTGCTGTATAACTCTTGATATTAGTTGGGAGAATTTGATATTGGATCAATTAATAATCTTCCTTGATTGTTGTCAGTTGTTTGCTGAAATTCTTTCTTAATCACTCGTGAGAGTTTAGGGTTAAAGCAGACCTAGAGTTGGATGTTTTATGTTTTGTTCCAAAATGTTACTGCAAGAGAACAGAGTTAAAAATTGGCTCCTGCAAAGATGCTTGGGTGACACTATGTATTGTTGTGTAGGTGCTGTAGAACTCGTAGATGTTTCGTCATCTCTTCCAAAGCTTAAGAGATCCACAGGCTTGAGGACATGGAAGGTAAATGGAAAAAACTGTTTTGAATAGCAGCAGGCTTTCTAGTGGCTAATTCAGAAGAAATTCACATATAATGTCAATAATCTCTTTTTACTCCTGGCTTTTGAATTGCATTTATTACTTAGTGAGTGGACTGTCAGTTCTTAGGATGGAACTTGACCTATCTACTACCTCAAACATTTTAATTCAAATTTATTTTTTGCATGGTATGATTTCCAAACAAGTCTTCATTCTGATCATATTCACCAGCTGTTATTATCCTTACTCATAGTAACACATTCAGATTTTTAGATGCAAAGGAAGTTCCCTTACTGTCATAACAGTATGCAAAAGTAAAATTCTTCAATTAAATTTTGTTTGACTTGTAGTATCTTTGGATGAATCCAGTTTTAAACAGAACAGCTTTACAGTTATACAACAGAAATGCATATACCAATCATAGGCAGACAACCTTTGTAATAGAGTGAATATGAAGTGGCTTGAAAGGAATCAAAGTGTAGATTACAAAAGCATTATTCTAGATCATTCCTAGATTGTTCCTTGGACTCAGATGATCTCTCAATCATTTGCCTAGTAATATGTTACACCAGTGAAGTTATAGATGGCAAAATAATTAGGTATGTTTCATGTTGCATACGAGTATTTATTAAATACATTGTATAATTCTTAAAATGTTTCTTTGCAGATCATGACAAAAAACATGAAAGTTGTCGATAACTGTGATCCAGGCACAGAATTTTTTGCAAAAGGATTCAAACCAGAAATGTTACCTCCATCAGAAGATGTTATTGACAAATTACACATAGAAAGATGGTGGGTAGAACTTTGTTGTGATGTAGTGTTCTATGATAGGGGAGTAAATCAATGATTTTGGTCACACATAAGATAAATCAACATTGGCAGTATAAGAATCAGTTACTATATACACTGGCTTATAAACACAAGGGGAAAACATCAGTCCACAATTTCCATTTTGGACCATAGTTTCTCATGCACCTAATGCTATGTAAGCACTTCCACACAATATATTTTTTTGACAGTTGTATAATTTTAAATTTTTTTCAAAGAATTCACTGAACAGCTGCAAGCAACTCATCTATTGCCCTTATTGCCTGTACCTAAAGTTGACCACTAACACCCCCCCCCCTCCTCCCCAACATAAAATGATATTAAATGATGTACTTTTATTATTACTAACATAGCCTCAGGGTACATGTAAGTAGGTATTGTGGTTCATCACAGCTTTGTTTCAAGTCCTTAATTCTCGGAAAGCTGAGAAGTCTGGTCCCATGAACTTTGAGGGTTTTTCTAATTCATTGTTGCTACTGTTTCTTATGGTAACTTGATGTGAAACCAGTGGTTGGCAACTATAAAGCATAATAGTTTCCTCTTATCCATTTATTAGTTGCCACACGGCTTCTTTGTGAACTACAGTAAACTTTGAAGCAAATTAAACTTACACTAAACAGCCATGTAATGATCATAGTTTCTTTATCCAGCTAACAGACAAAGGGAAACTATGTATTCCAAAAAGTAATGATTGACTCTCCAGATAATATACTGGAGGCTCTCTACCACTGACCAATCCAGACCTGGTACTACTTTAATTTTTTTTCTGTCAGCTCTACGTTACTGCAGATAAAGCCACAGGAAACACCTCTATACAACATAAAATCAACACCAGGTTTAAATTTCATGGACTCTGGTCAAGGGGTGGAATGTACTCAATGTTTACCAGCCAAATTTGGTTCTATAGAAGTACAAACTGCGATTGATCCGTAACATCTGGAAATGTTCAGTTCTCTACAGCGACTTTGAATTCATGTGATTCAATACTTACTAATTAGAGTAAAGTTTAGAGTTAAAAAAGGGTCGAGTGGTGTTTCTGTGTGAAAATCATTGTCGAAGGAACAACACGCGTGTGCCATCAGGGTCGATAGATTGGAGCACACTACTCTTATATTCTGGGTATTTTTGGCTGACATCTTCCACAGCATTAAGATTAGTTTTCAGCTCTTCAAATCGGGGTGTATCGACTGTGAATACAAGCGCGCCAAAGCCACTATGGCGGTCCAAGTCTGGATTGTTAAACTTGCAGCGTTTTACAGTCCAGTACTGCAACTCGAGAGTTGTGTAGGGTCTTTTCCAAAGCCATTCGCGGATTTCTACATCATTCACGTTATCTGATGGTGGTTTTTCATCTGTACAAGCCAAGAAGTAAAGATCAAACATGTCTGGAATGTTTTGCCTCGAAAGAAGTTTCATTCCCAGCGAAGACTCGTAAAACCTGAGGGACTTTTCGATGTCTGAGACTCGAAGAGTTATTTGACCCACGTGTGTTTGCTGACGTAGAGCGAAGGTTGGATTAAGGAAGCTTTTTATCCGTTCAGAACAGAAGTTATGTTGGAAATCACGTTGCAATAGTTCTACGGAGTACCCAAAAGGGTCGTTCAAGTGGCATAGGTAACCAATGTCTCGAAACTGTCTGGGTTGAGTTACATGGACCCCGTGACTTATGAGGTGCGACCGCGCGGTGTCCACATCAGCTAGAGATAGTCCAATCTTCCAGTAAACATCAGAAGATGGATTTGGTACGTAAAGCTTGGGTGGACTGGCTTGCTGTATGTGAGACCGAAACTCAATACATGCTGACTCCGAGTTATTTTCGAAACCAACCCAGTGTATTAAATCGGTTTCACTTCGCATCTCCTTTAACACACTCATTCCCAGTCGTTGACAATACCACTCAATAAGCCCTTTGGTGGCAGATGTATCCACATGGAGTCGTGCAAACGCCAGCTTCATTTCTTTAAGTTATTTTATCGCGGTCGAAAAAGAGTGAGTTTCCAAACTGATTGACCCTCCGGAAGAATATCCGGAAACACACACCTCGTCACCAGTCTCGTGCACATTCTCCTTTTAACTCGCACGCAACACGCTCGTCCACGAAGCGGGGAGCTTGTGACGTGTTACGTTAAGGTGGCTCGTACCGGGTTTCATCTTTTTGATGGTTTGTAACTTTGAAAGAATACAACAGAAAGACTGACCAAGGCCAGTTCAACACTTTTACGGGGTTTAATTACATAATCATTGGTTATCCAAAAAGAAGTGTCATTTCATCACTAGCAGTTTCGTATATAAGAACGATCCTTCGCAGTAAAGCACTATTTGAACAATAGTGGAAATCAGACCTGAAAAAAATTTCAGGCCTGTACGGGATTCGAACCACTGAAAGAATAGTGCTTTACTGCGAAGGATCGTTCTTATAG